AGAAGAAGAAGAAGAAGAAGAAGAAGAAGAAGAAAAAGAAGAAGAAGAAGAAGAAGAAGAAGAAAGTGAAGAAGGTAGAGGGGAAGAAAGGGGGAAAGAAAGGAAAGCAAGAAGTCAAGGAGGAACGGGAGAATAAGATAGAAGAGGAAGGGGGGAAAAAGAAGGAGGAGGAGGAAGAGGAGAAGAAGAGCAAGCATTTACACCAATTCTACAGCTGTCTACAGTACACAAAAGCTTAAGTTAGACACTCACCCGGCACCACATCACAGTCTTGCAACGGATAAATCACCTGAAATACAATCAGGTAGAATTTTTTTTTAATACAACACTACGTGGGGATAGACTATGATTGCTAATTTTTGTATGTTCTCATCAATACAATTTGGATCGTTAAAGAGGCAGGTAGCCTTGACCCTGCCTGCCAGGGTAATTTTGGCCGCAGATGGAAACAGCGTTCCAGCAGACAGATGGAGAATCCTGAAAAAGTAACTTCCACACTCTAGCTTTACTTTACTTTTTCGATCCAAGCAGCCATCTAGGTTCTAGCCCTTCTGCCTGTTGATTTGGCATAGAATTTACAGGTCATCTTCCCCACTCAAAAATCGAACTCGCATCTTCTGCATTTCAAGGCAGAGAGCGTAACCATAATACACTACAGACACCAGTAACCCCATATAGTAAATATCATAGTACATAAACTAATACAGGTAACCTATCACAAAGAAATCATTAATCCAAGCATTAAGGAAGCATTGTGAATTCATTCAATGAGAAAAACGGAGGGACAATTTTAATCTTGGAAAATTACTTTTTTAAATCATAAATCTGTTCTGACAAGATATTATAGTGTCTGTTGGCTCCAACAGTCCACAGTCGAACCTGCCCAAAATGACCAGCTATTGTCAACAGAAAAGTTGTTACATTTGACAGGTGATACTCTTGGACAGTATCTTTATAATATGTCACGACGCAGTGGAATCAGGCACTCGTCAATTTTTAGGCATGTTGAGTTATTGGTATAATCTGAAAGCTTATTCATTTGTCTTGCTTTCAATGAAAAAGATATCCATTTATTTTGAATACGAGTTGGGGTATTTATGATTGAAGGAGATGAGGTCACCTGGTCTCAGTAGTCAAATTAGTGAGGAAAGGGTCACCAAAGTATGGTAACTCCAAAAGCTAAAGAGTCCTTGAAAACTGAAAAATGACATATTTTGCGCCTATTCAACGTTTTTCAGTTCAATTCACAAGGAAATATGTTTTTGCATGCACATAAAGGGTTTGAGCCACAAAAAAATTCAATAAAAACCACCAAAACTGGAAAAATGCCGGGTTCTTCACTTTCATTATTCTGCCTCATATAGAGAAAAAAAGGTCAGGGAGAAGTGAGAATTGATCCTTTTTACAGGTGATTGTCTTGGACAGATGGTCAGTAGATCAGGTTCGACTGATCGTATCTTGTACATTACATGTATGAAGAGAACACACCAGATTCAAGTAGTATCCTACCTGTTCTCTCAAAGTGCCGTCTGTGAAGTATGGTTTTTGTGGCAAATAGAACATACCAGTTGGTCCTAGGGGCACATGCCTGCTGATCTGACCTGCTCAGAGAAGGAAAAAGGACTTAAAACAAATTTTCCCTTCCATAACAGTCTGAAATAATTAAATGTATACTTGACCCAAACAAGGTGATGCATTATTTCTGATATAGGATATAATTTTCTTTTGAGAGAGAAGAAATTAGAAGAAAGTTTATTTCTGAGGTAGAATACAATTTTCTTTCAATTAGAAGACACAAAGAACCTCAAGAGAATTGAATTTATAATCAAAACATATCCTCCATAGAATATTTATACATTTGAGGGGTAAGAAAAAGTCCATTCAAATATAGAGCACCCAATCCCAAAATAAAGTAGACCTACACACTCAGCTTTAAGTGAAGAGAACACCAAAAATTATAACTTTATTTTGCCCTCCATGAGAGATTTCTATTACAGAGAATTATTGTGAAAATATACAACAATACAGTTGAAAAAGATACCTATTACACATAATGTTGCACCCTTTGTAGACACACAAGCACCTTTCCACTGACCACGATATTAATCTAGGCCTTGTGAAAAGACATACCCCAGATGTCCTTAATTCAGATGCTACTGTCATCAACATTGCTTGATATCCTCATGAATCTATGTCTAGAAAAGATGGCAATTTATTATTTATGACCTATCAGGCTAAGCCAAAATATACACGCCAAGCTCCACTCTCTTTCTCAGTAAATAGTACAAAGAGTACAACAGGTGTTCAGCCTACCAAATGCGTCCTTCAACCACCCATGGTCAATTTGTGAAGGGGGTGGGAGTAAGGAATCAAAACAGGCAGACAGAAAGAGAAAGTCAAACATAAACCACGCACCTCTTGCAGACTTCCAGAGGCCACTGAGAACACGTAGTAATGATGTTTTCCCACAGCCACTCTCGCCAGTGATCAGAACATTGACACCGCTCTCCAGCTGGAATGATAAATCTGGGAAGGAAGGGGGATGAGAGTTTTGAATAGTTTGTTTGTTCACTTTAAAGGAAAGTACATAAATTAAAGAAACAAAGACCATTTGTAGAAAATTAAAAGCAAGACCTTGACATGGAGATATCAGATTGGTTGGAAAAACATACGACTCAATACTTAGATAACTTTGTTCTTTTCTTTCAAGATGAGTAAACTATTTGGAATATTTTTCAATACAGTTAAAAATTCATTTGTAAAAATAACAGCTTCAAAACCAGTTGCCATTCCAAAATGTCCCACTTAGTTATAGTAGAGTTTTACGGCGCTCGCAACTGCATAAGGTCATATGAGCGCCAAAAGATTAGAGGTGTTACAAGAGAGTAACAAACATAAAAAAGAAGAAGGGGAGATAAGGATGATAGATGTTGGATAGGAAAGAAGAAGCAAACTTCTGATCTAATACAAATTGCGACTGAAGTTAAAAGCAGTGTCAGCTATGCAAAAAGGTAAAACACAAACTTACTACGACACAAGACTTTTGCTGTCTTGGGCAACCCGTAGGAGACCTCTTGGAATCTGAAGGCAGTTGAGCCATCCCCAGCATCGCGGACAGGAATATCATTCCGGGGAGAAGCTCGCCTACAACAACAGGGTCATAATAATAATAATAATGATAATGGTAATAATAATTGAAATTATACAGTGCATATACACGCTCTACAGCAACTATGATATATGGTCATACTGATTGTAAGTCAAAAGGCAAACCAAACAATAGGGGATAAGGGATTGAAGGAG